TTTCTGCCAAAACAACAGCTGCCGCAGAACACCTGACGTCAGGTGCTGTCGCTCAAGTCAGGCTGACTCAGTCAACTTCGGACGACTTCTACCATGTCCTACCCGCTCCTGAGCACTGGCTGCCAACCCGGCTCTCTCAGGAAGGGAACACCAGGTGACAGGCAACACAGACGAAACTTCCAACCTCAGCCCTCAAAGAGCTTATCATCAGTTCACCAACTGACCTCACCTTTCCTTCCAAATTACGCTTCTGGAATCTGGCCCTGGCCTCCAGCACAGGACCTGAGAATTTTCTCTCATCTACCAGTAGCACAACTAAATTTCTCAGTAATGGCCCAAACACAAGCAAGCAAACCACACAAGGGGCTGTAAACTAAAAATTCAACAGAAAACCCTTTTTACTTATTCTTTCATTCATTCAGTGAATTTTAATTGACTGTGCACCGAGTACCAGGAGCCCTGCTAGGCGCTGGGGACTCCCCCCTGGGAACGAGAGGGACACAGTCTCTCTCCGCAGGGACCTAAAAGAGGACGGGGCCCCTAAGGGAAAAGGCTCCGTGTTGCAGTTTTAACCAATCCTACCCGTTAGCTCCATGATGCCAAAACGTCAAGAGCACCTTCAAGGCTGGACGTGAGGGACATGAATGTTATAGCAACTTAAAGCCACTGAGTAACTAGATTCTGATAAGAACAGCTCGGGAAGGTAGAGTGGAGCAAATGCCTTCAGCCTTTCCAACTGAATACCCTTGGAATCGAAATTTGCTCTTTCTCTAATAAAAGTGGAAAATTAAGCACGCAAAAACAAAGAAAAGGCAGCGCCAGCCCCTTCCTCAGGGCCCATTTCCCAACCCGGGGAGAAAGCGACACTTCTGGGGTCTTTGCTGCTTGAGACATCACCAGGAAAAGGCTGAAGTCTTCGCCCCCTTTTCAGGCAAATACACAAGCAGCCTCCTGCCATAAACAAATGCAGAAAGTCAAAGCCGGAAATCAAAGCCTGGAGACAGGACACTGGAAACCTTCGGACAGGGGCCTTGAGAATAGTTCAGCCTAACTCTCAGCATATCTGAACGTAATAAGAACAGTCCAGAACAGCGCCTGACCCCAAGTCATGATGATTAAGGCTTTGGGGGGCATTTAAGTGATTCTCTTTCCTCATTATGTTCACATTCACTATCTTACAGCAAGGACCGCGTTGACGTCAATTATTTTTTGCCGTCGTCGAGAGCTTGTCATCTCTCTACAGAACAATACTCTATAGGTGCACGAGAGTTGAAAGCTAAATTCTTTCCCCAATTCAGCACGGGAAAAGTGCTGCTCCCAGCAATTTGACATCATTTCATTAGATTAGATTAATTTTTATTTTTTTAGGTTAATTTTTAAATGTGTTATCCTAACAATTATGCCAACTACCATGTAATTAACATTCTGACTGACTTTACAAAAATTACACAATCCCCTAAAGAAAATAATTAGTCAGTAAGCGTGAATGAGACTTCTCTATGGCCAATGGCACATAAAATAGAAAGCTCATCACATAATGGGTGGTATCAAAGCCTTTCCCACACTTCCTTCAATTCTTAGCCAACAGTGCAGAAAGCTGACATTGGCAAGTTACCCTAAACTTCACCTAACATATTAATGCACTTTCCGGTTTAAACTTGTCGAGGGCAAAATGAAGAATGATGAAAGCTTTTGCCATTAAAAAGCTCTTTTCATTTGTAAGAGAGGCATGATAAACACATATCATTGCTGCTTCCATATCCCCAGCTGGAAATAAGAATACTGGCTTGTTTCTTGGGGCTACTTCTTGAGTTTATTAAAGAAATGTACATAAGGCATCCTTACCCTTGTTTTCCTCTTTCCTTTCAAGGTTTGAAGTACAGTATTTGTATAATAGATCTTAAATCCCTTCCAGAGTAAGGTAAGGTATAAATAAGCAATAGTCAAATAGGACACTATCTACCATAACAGAAATAAACAACGTTTCCCCTGTAGCCCACCTCTGAATAATTGGCAGGGGCTGCCTAGCCCCAGGACAGAGTTGTGAGCCCAGAGGTGGCCTTAGCAGGAAAGAATACAGAGGGTGGTTAGTGATGTCTGCCCTGGACAAGAGTGACAGTTTCAGGACCATGTCCCATGTATTTGCCATCTCCATCCTTCAGTAAACCACTAAAAATGAGTAAAATGTGATACCAGTTTATGAATAAAATATAACATATGAATTGCTCCTGTGATGAAGGTTAAAAGGGGGAGAAATGTTTGCTATAGTCAAAACCTTAAGCCAAACCTGATGAAAGCATCCAGTTTTAGAGGAAAGAACACTGACCTACATCAGGAAAGGCAAATTCTAGTCTAGCTATGAAGCCATGAGCAGGTCGGTTCACTTGGCCTTGGTCTGCTTGGCTATAAAATAAGGGGGTAAGCTAAACATCTCTTAAACATTCTCTTTATTTTGCCAATTAACGTTTTAAGACTCCAAAATCCCCTCTGCTGGGGCACTTGGAAGCTGATGGAACAGCAGTTACTTCAGAGGCACGCACCAGGCCAGGACATGACTGAACCCCTACACCACTCACACTGCTCATATGGGACCTAAAATCTGTGATACATTTCTACATCTAGTTTTAAGCTGTAGCATCTCCAGGACAAGAATTTCCACATACATAATATTTCTTTTCCTTAACACATCCTCTTTTCCACCTGAGGGCAAGGGTGGGGGGCAGGGACAGGGTCTTCTATTTTTATACTCTAATAAATTCAGCAAACAATTAAAACTACCTTCATTCAAAAGTTAAGAGTCATCACTTCAAGTTAAAACCAGTTGCTTCCACTGAGTCCCACGCACTCATGGTTTCGAGATCAGCCTAAATCTTCCCACCAGTGAAGTGTCCATCCCTCAAGCCTATTCCAAGAACATTACCCTCATGATACATGAACGCAGCTTCCACGTCCAAACACCAAAAAGCAAGACTTTCTACCAGGAGTCCAACCAGAAATAAGTCACCTACAGATCAGATCCCACCCAATCACCAGGTAAACTCACATTAGGATGTCCAAGCGTGCCCCTGGGGAAATAAGGATGCTCAAACAGGAAACCCTGAGAGGGCAGGGCTATCTGCGTAGGGCCAGAACAGTCTCATGTCTGGCCCTGGCAACTGCAACAGACATCTCTAATTTCTTGTCTGCCCTGCATCCTCTCCTGCCTCTATCTAATTCCAAGCAGCCCCAATTCCTGTGCTTTAGCTGATCTGCACTGGGCAGTCAGAGAATCCCACCCCCTGAACTCAATGAGCTGTCTGGGTAGGTAGGGGCCACCTACCAAACAGGGCCAGAATCCGTTTTTAGGGTCTGGTGTGGACACCTGGAGATCACCTGGTAGAAGGACCACGCAAACCTACAGCTGCCAGTGCGTCTTTTCCACCACTGGGAGATATCAGGCCAACACTGGGAAGCAGGCGTAGACAGGGCAGGAGAGTGCCAGATCCCCATACCGCCTGGGCACCCTGATCCTCGAGACTGAAGTGGGTCTCTGTCAACAGCAGCCCAGAGCTTGGAGGACAAGCCTTATAGGTTAAATGCACGCATCCCAGGTTCAAGGTTCCACTGCAAACCAAAGAATGTTAAATACTCTTCCAGACAAATTCAAAGGAAAAATTCTACACACTGGAAACACTGTCAAGGCTCACCTGTCACTTAAGACCTGAGAGGGAAAAGAACCACAGGAAAGAGGAAAAGGATGACGGATAACTGGAGGGGGCAGAGCAGTTCACAATCAGTAACTGTAAGAACTATTATCTCCAGGGAGGTAGCAGTCTAATGAGAAAAGCTTCCCAAGATGTTCCATATATTCTAGCTTTCTCTCAGCAGCAACAAAACCAAACACAACACAATAACGCACAGCGCCCGAACAAGAGGAACTTGTTAGTAAACAGACTAGTTTCCTCAGTAAACAAGAGGAACTTGTTAGTAAACAAACTGTTTCCAGGCTTCTGAGCCTAATTGCTCCTGTTATTTTTACACTGCAGCTTACTTTTCCTTTACAGCCGTCCTAAGGTCTACGCCACGGGCCTGCCTATTGCAGGAAACCATGAATAGCAAATTCTAGGGAGAGCGTTTAGAACAATCTCCCTCAGACGGGTGTAGAGTAATTAGAGCAAAGAGAGCATTAGGAAGTTATTTATTTTATACATAGTATCCACACTACTACGTATAAAATAAATAACCAGCAAGGACCTACTGCTGGTTATCTATTTTATAGCACAGGGAACTATACTCAATAGTTTGTAATAACATGTAAGGGAGAGAATCTGAAGAAGAATACACACACACACACACACACACACACACACACACGTATCACTGAATCGCTGTGCTGTACACCTGAAACTAACACGATATTGTAAATCAACTATACTTCAATTAAAAAAAAAAAGATGAAGAAAAAAAAAGAGAGATGGGGACTTCTCTGGTGGTCCGGTGGTTAAGACTCCGTGCTTGGGTTCGATCCCTAGTTGGGGAACTAAGATCTTGCAGGCCACGCGGCACGGTGCGGGGGGCGGGGAGAGAGAGACAGTAATCTATCAAACTCTAGTGATGTTCTTCCATCAACAATGGGGAGGACAGGCCAAGCAACATAAACCATGTGAGTGGCTGCACACTGAGACCAGCAGTCCTTCACCTTCTGGGGGTCAGGGACCCCTCTGAGAATCTGATGAAAGCTAGGAAGTCCTCCCCAGAAAAACACACACACACACAACATTCTGCATGTGATTTCATGGGGTTCATAAAAGCTGCTCCCTACACCCAGCAACCAGGTTAAATGCACCTGACTCTGAACAATCCTCAAAGACTTCAGAGGGAAGCCTGAAGCTTCCGACTCTGTAACCCGATGCTGAATCAGAACAAAAAAGGAAAGAAAAACCCTCACTCTCTGCCTTTATGAAATGCAAGAAAACTTGTTTCTTCCTATATCAGCTCCATGTCTGACATGTCCCCCTTACCTTGTTTGACCACTTATATGCCTGAAGGAGCTGACTGTAGAGAGGGGTTTTGTCCTGCACGGGATCCAGACTCAACAGCCCGCTGTTATGGAGAGGATGGTTCTCAGAAGGCTTGCCGACCAAGTTGCTCAGCCGTTCCAGCTCACTGAAAAGTAAACAGATACAGCAAATAAACCCGGGTCCACTGCAACTCCAGTGCTAAGCCAACCACACTGGTCAACGGCTGTTCTTCAAACCGCCCATCAAAGGTCCCTTAAGAAGAAATACTTTCTGAAAGGTTAAGAAGACTAGGGCCACTTGAGACAACCCCTAACTAGGGGCTGATCTTGTTTTGCAACTGAGCTCTCTGGCGCCATGCTAAAGGAGAACAAGGGTTAAGAGCGATGAAATCAGTAAGCCTCCTAAAATCAGCCTTGAACAACTCGAATCATTCTCTGAGGGGGTGTGGGGGGAGAGGACACTTTCTGGAATTTTGAAACGCAATATAACACTGCTTCTCACTAAGAGTTTTCAGACCCACGTACAGATCAGTACCTTTGGCAGAACAGCAAGTACCTGAATAAATGATGATTATTTACCATTCACACAGAGATAGATTTGTACGTGGTGCTTCACAGATGTTAAAACTTAACAAAACAAAGAAGAGGGCTTCCCTGGTGGCGCAGTGGTTGAGAGTCCACCTGCCGAAGCAGGGGATGCGGGTTCGTGCCCCCGTCCGGGAAGATCCCACATGCCGCGGAGCAGTTGGGCCCGTGAGCCATGGCCGCTGAGCCTGCACGTCCGGAGCCTGTGCTCCGCAACGGGAGAGGCCACAACGGTGAGAGGCCCGCGTACCACAAAAAAAAAAAAAAAAAAACCAAAGAAGAGATAAAATAAACAAATGGAATGGGAAGACACCACCGAGGGGCTGTGTCAAAGAAACATGCTTCAGTCTAGCAAAATAAAAACCTCTAGAGCAGCTTGGGAAAGGGAGCCAACAGCAAAACCACGTTCCAGGGCTTCCCTGGTGGCGCAGTGGTTGAGAGTCCGCCTGCCGATGCAGGGGACATGGGTTCATGCCCCGGTCTGGGAAGATCCCACACGCCGCAGAGCGGCTGGCCCCATGAGCCATGGCCACTGAGCCTGCGCGTCCGGAGCCTGTGCTCCGCAACAGGAGGGGCCACAGCGATGAGAGGCCCGCGTCCCGCAAAAAAAATAAATAAATAAAGCACATTCCAGAAGCACGCCAGTCTGACGGGCCAGTCTCAAAGTGTCAACAAAAGCTTTGTAGGAACAGATTCTCATGCCACGTTCATTCTGGTATCTTCAGCCACCTTCTTCTTGGTACTGCTGTCTAAAGATTTAAGAAGGCAAAGGGGTGATGTCAACATTCTTAAGCTTTCTACAATGGTGAAGGGTTACAACATCCTGTATATTACCAAGGGAAGCCAATCGAAGAGGAGACGGACGAGAGGAAAGAACCACCAGCGCATCCCCTCAAGCAGGGAAAGTATTAACGGGCACTGCACCAGAGAACAGCAAGTGGGTGTGGGAGTTGAGGAGGGGTGTGTGACTTCCTGGCTTTCCCCCAAAACAAGAATGGCAGCTACTTAGAAGAAAATAAATAAATAAATAAAAAGAGGCTCCCATCATTTGGTCGCCACCTCCTCTTCCATCCTACCTCCTCCTTCCATCTGGTTACTAAGGAGACCAAGTTGAGACGGGAAAAAAACAAAACAGAACAAAAAAACCCAGCCACTCCAGAAATTATAGGATGACTAGCTCACCCAATGCCTTCCCCTGCTAAGGTCAGTTCTGAGAGGTAAAAGGCAAAAAATCCTGCAATTCTAACCCTCCTGGAAAGGACTGACTCTCATAAGCAGGGGAAGGCAAGTCCAGGACCTAACCAATTAAAAAGGGCCTACTACGTGCCAGGCATTTTACAAACATCCTCTCACTTAATTTCACTTACAAAGTAGAAGAAGGTGACTTGTAAGAAAGAAATATACAATCCTTAACCCTGAAAGACCACAAATTAATATTTGTTGGGGGCCGGGGGGAGGTGTAAGCAGAAGTGATTAAGCTGGTTAAGGCCGAGATTAGGTCTCTCTAGAGACAGAAACTTAAGAGGAACAGTGAGAGTGGGAGTGAAAGTACTGATCAGGTGGTTTCGGAAGGGGTAGGGGAAGAAAGAACAAAGCCTATTTTGTCGTGTTTGGGGGTGGGTTAGAGTGGAACTGGTGAATTCCAGGTTCAGGGACGAAAACCTGGGGCCAATCAGATGGGGTGCACTTGGCTTTGGGGCAGCGCTGAGCAGGTCCTGTTTGGTACTATTTTATCAGACATGGTGGGGCCCAGCGGGCCCACAGGTGAGAACCCTGCCGAGCTGAGATGAGGAGTGGAAGTTCCTGGGGAGAGCACGTCCCCCAGTGAGAAATGGAAGGACCACTGAGGAGGTCCAGGGCGGAGGGAGACAGCCAGGACCTGGAGGCCAAGAGAAGGGAGACGAGAAAGCGGGGGTGGAGGATGAGGTGGCCCTGAGGGGCAGGTAGAGGCTTGGAGAGGAGGGAGGGGGAGCAAGAGAGCAAGGAAAATGGACAGCAGCCCCTGACTGAGAAGACTCGCGCGGGGTCGGGACAGGGTGGGAGGTCCCCGGCCCCTTCAGCCGGTACCTACTTGAGGTCCCGGTTGACCGAATGCAAGTTGTCCTGGAAGTGCGCAATGAAGGCCTTCTCCCGGCCCTCCAGCGTCTCCTTGTTGCGCATGCCATCCTTCAGGCAGTCGAATACCCTGCTCACGCTGGAGCGCAGCGCCTGGATGGCACTGATGGCCTGGGCAAAGGCTTCCAGGTTCACGCCGACACTTAACACGTCCGCCATGTTGCCGCCGCCACAGCGGGCCCTCCAAAACCAGCGAGCAAAAAGCCGCGCTCGCTGATGACGCAAACCCTCGAAGGGCTCTGGGAAATGTAGTTCTCGCGGGGCGGGGCGGCCCAGGTGATTCCTCAGAGCCCTATCCCAGAGAGGGTTTCCACTTTAAACATGCGTGGGCAGGAAAGTGATCCCCTGGTTCTGGGGCAGTCGAGCTGCACGCTCGGCTTTCCTAATGGTGACAAGGAAATACAGAAAGTTCCCTCACTTCCCCAAACTTGCACTCTTGGGAGTCATATGGAAAAGAATTGCTCAGAGCGTTAAGGTGTCCGTGGTGTAAAGGGTTGAAAAAAATGCTTCCAAATTCGTAAATCAGTAGGGGAGAAGGGAAATTTCTTCCCTACAGTAGAATGCCAACTAATAAATGTAGAAGAAACGATGGAAAGAAAATTACCATTTGGCAACCGTTAGATTAATAACTGATTCAGATAGGAATTGAAGGATGCTAGTGGGTGAACGTGTGAGGAGTAATAGCATAGTTACATAGTCTCAACGTATCATTCCACAAGAAATTTGCTAATTAAGAAGGGAAAAATAATGATCCAGCAATTTCAGTTCCAGTTGCATACTTAAAAGAAGGAAAAGCAGGGTCTGGAACAGATATTTGTATACCCACGTTCATAGCAGCATTATCTACAAGAGCCAAAATGTGGAAGCAACCCAAATGTCCATCGTGGGATGAATTCATAAACAACATGCAACATATACATACAAGGGAATATTTATTCACCCTTAAAAAGGAAGGAAATTCTGGGACTTCCCTGTTGGTCCAGGGGTTGACTCCGTCGGCACTCCCAATGCCGGGCACCAGGGTTTGATCCCTGGTCAGGGAACTAGATCCCGCATGCCACAACTAAAGATCCCACATGCCACAGCGAAGATCCAGCACAGCCAAATAAATAAATATTTTTAAAAAACAAGGAAGGAAATTCTGACACATGCTACAACATGTGTGAACCTTAAAGACATTATACTAAGTGAAATAAGTCGGACAGAAAAGGATAAATACTGTATGATTTCACTTATATGAGGTACCTAGAAGAGTCAAATTCATAGAAACAGAGAGTAGAATGGTGGATGCCAGGCTCCATGTGAGTGGGGATGGGGAATCAGTGTTTAAAGGGAACAGAGTTTCAATTGGGGAAGACGAAAAAGTTCCATGGATGGTGGTGGCGGTAGCAAAGCAGTGTGAATGCACTTAATGCTACAGAACTGAACACTTAAAATGGTTAAAATGGTAATTTATGTTATGTATATTTTACCATGAAAGAATTTAATTCAGTAATGTAAAGGTAATAGGTAATAGTGACTTCATAGTGGAGAAAACTGGCTGACACTACCCTTAAAAGAGATCAAGGTCAACGTCACCAGTGTAGGACAAACCACCCCCTGATATGATCCACTGAGGAGAGCACAACATGACTTCTGTGATATTCCTGCCAAAAATGCAAAACCTGAGTCTGATCAGGACATCTGACAAACTCAAAGACATTGGACAAAATAACTGACATCTGAAAGAGAAAAACAAATACTATATGCCAACACATATATATGGAATATAAAAAAAATGGTTCTGATGAACCTAGGGGCAGGGCAGGAATAAAGACGCAGATGTAGAGAATGGACTTGAGGACACAGGGAGGGGGAAGGGTAAGCTGGGACGAAGTGAGAGAGTAGCATGGACATATATACACTACCAAACGTAAAATAGATAGCTAGTGGGAAACAGCTGCATAGCACAGGGAGGTCAGCTCAGTGCTTTGTGACCACCTAGAGGGGTGGGGTAGGGAGGGTGGGAGGGAGACGCAAGAGGGAGGAGATATGGGGATATATGTATACGTATAGCTGATTCACTTGGTTATAAAGCAGAAACTAACACAACATTGTAAAGCAATTATACCCCAATAAAGATGTTAAAAAAAATCACAGGTGAGTGAAAGGGCTTAACAACCGAGTGAATGGCTTCCATGTTTCCTTGAGAAACCAAGAGTGTAATCCGTTAGATATTCTCCAGAATAATGAATTGGCGTGGTCAGCTCTCTCAGTTAACACCTCTAAAACCCATCAGATAAATTTGTGCTTGTCTCTAAAAAAAAAAACCAAAAAAACTGACATCTGACAAACTCAAAGACGTTAGACAAAATAACTATTGACCTATACTTTCTCACAAAACACTTGTGTCACGAAAGACCGAGAAGGATGGAGGAGCAGCCCCAAATTAAAGGAGACTAAAGAAGGCATCCCATGGAGCTTCCCTGGTGGCGCAGGGGTTGAGAGTCTGCCTGCTGATGCAGGGGACGCGGGTTTGTGCCCCGGTCCGGGAGGATCCTACGTGCCGCGGAGTGGCTGGGCCTGTGAGCCATGGCCGCTGAGCCTCCGCGTCTGGAGCCGGTGCTCTGCAACGGGAGAGGCCACAACGGTGAGAGGCCCATGTACCACAAAAAAAAAAAAAAAAAAATGCATCCTATAATCTGGGATTTTCTTTTGCGGACCCGATTGAGACAATTGGTGAAATCTGAATAAGTTTTGTAAATTAGTTCATAGTATTTTATAGGTGATGATGTCATGATTTTGTTCATCGTATTGTGGTTATGGAAGAGGATATCCTTGTTTGGGGGGAAATATACCCTGAAGGGCATAAAGGAGCATTGTTATGTCTGCATAAAAAAGAAAATAGTATGGATATGTTTATTTAGAGAGAGAAGGATAAAGCAAATGTGGTAAAATACTAACAGTTGTGGAAACCGGATGAGGAGTACACAGAAATTATTTGTACTATTCTTGCAATTGTAAGTCTGAAATTCTTTCAAAATATTTTGTTTTCAGTGGCCATCGATAAGGGGCATGGAAGGTGTAAACACGATCTAGGTGGCAAGAAAAGCCTTCAGTTCTACCAGGCTGTGCGGACCAGGATTTTAAAATTCTGTAGTTTATCTCAAGCCCACTTCCTTAATCATTCTGCCACTCTTCTCCAACCTCACTCCCCTCACACCCCCTCAATTAAAATTCTCTAGCTCTGGAACACTAAAGATAAATTCTGCTCAAACACTGGGCTCTGATGTTGCTCTCCATGAGTATTTAAATTTAAATACCATTAAAATGAATTAGTAGTCCCATAAGAAAGAAAGGTGTTTTATTGTCTTGGGTTTATAGAGTTGCTTTCATTTTCTGACATATACCTCACTTTGCTAGTGTGGCCATTTACAGTGTTTCCTAAGGAGAAAGGGTAGAGATAGCAGGAAACTTCTAGGTGTGGAATTTTAAACAAGTCACTGAGCCTCACTGAGCCTCAGTTTTCCCATCTGTAAAATAGGTCTAGTAATAATACCTTTTCTTATAAAATAGCTTTGGGATTTATAACACCTTGCAGGCAAAGCTTTTGAAATATTGTTCAGTATATAATAATCACTCAGAAGATCATAGCTGTTAGGAGGATGTGCTGAGAAAGTTTCTGATGGGGCTGTGACGTGTGCTCCCATCCCCCACTTGAAGATTCTTTGCACAGAATCAAGAAAGGATTAGCAAGAGATCTATTCAAATTATCTCTAATGACATGACCCTGTTGCCAAGAGCTTGTCAGTAAACTGTGTGCTATAATTCACTATTTTTTTTTTTTGCGGTACGCGGGCCTTATCACTGTTGTGGCCTCTCCCGTTACAGAGCACAGACTCCAGACGCGCAGCCTCAGCGGCCATGGCTCACGGGCCCAGCTACTCCGCGGCATGTGAGACTTTCCCGGACCGGGGCTCGAACCTGTGTCCCCTGCATCGGCAGGCGGACTCTCAACCGCTGCGCCACCAGGGAAGCCCTATAATTCACTATTTTTAATGGCCTTTTCTTATCTCCTTTGTAGTGTAGGGGGATTGTTTTTATTTTTTTACGGTTTCTGTAGAAAATATTTTTTAACTTTTCAAAAGTAAAGTATCCGTGTCTGTTGGCTTGTTTTGGTTGTGGCTTCAGTTCATTCATTCTCTCTAGGGGAAGAGTAGAGAAGGCTAACTCCATTATCGTTTTTACTCACCTGAGGCTTAGAGAGTGTGATTCCTGCTGTATATTTTGTCCCGGGGGTGGGGGGTGGGGGGTGGGGTGGGAACTGTACCAGTCTATTTCTGCCCACACCCATGTGTATCTATAAACACGAAGTTTTGCATACAATTTCAGGGGGTTCACAGCCCCCACTAAAGCCCAAGCATGAACCTCTGGTTAGAATCATGCTCTAAGGCAGACACCATGGGAGGATGGCTGGCAGCTAACTTGTAACCATCAGGTCTCCAATGCCTTGGGCACAATAGATGTTCGCTCTGTGAAAGCAGTGAGTTAACCCAATATGTTATATTTGCTTCTTAGATCCTCTCTCCAAATTATTTCATCTCTTTGTGTACTCAGATACCACCTCTCCTTCCTGCTCAGCCTTCCTCCTATCACCCACCCCGACACACACACACATACAGACAATTAGATTTTCCTTTGTCTCATTCTCTGATTCAGTGGTTTAGACTCTGATTGGCGCAATAAAGTACAAATACGCTCTGCTCCCACCGTCATTCGTTTTCAGGGTTTCTCTTGGGCTCTGCTCTTCTGGGAAACTCAGAAATTGATCAGGGGAAATATACATTTCCCCTGAACCTAGTAAGGAGTCTTTCATCACGTCAACAAAAAACTTTTCATTATGGAAAGGAATGGACAGAGTTTCTCTAAGGTGTTGTAAATTCTTGAGAATGTTGGCACATATATGCTTGCATCTGTGTGTGTTTGTGGGATAAAAATTACTTCAAAGGAGTTCATTTTGAGACATATCAGACTTTAATTATTATGATCTTATGTTTGGGTAAAAGGCAGCACCCTGCTACGAATACCTTCCAGAACGAACAAGCCATTAGCTTGGTGCTAGCAGCCCAGGCGTATTAGAATGAGCAATCAGGATTAAAGTTGTTAAATTAAAGTTGGATTTAATTAAAATATGCTGCAACTCCCATCA